AGATCTGTCCTCGCAGAGGAGGGAGAGCTTGTATCTGAATAAAACTTGGTTTTAAAGGTGCCACTAGACTGTTTTGGGGCTGGGGGGGCTCTGCAATTTACCTGGCTGCTTCTTGCTCTGACTGAGGGTTGCTGGGAGCAGGGGGTGGGGCTTGTTGCATGTGCCCGCCCCCTGGGGTCTTTACTGCCGGAGCTCCATTCCTGTGCGCTCCTGTAGGAAATGACCCCTGATGTTCTGTTGGCTCCTGCTGCAGATGCTGTATAATATTATACGTCTGTCTCTAAACCCATGAACTGGAAAACTGGATTATTTTCAAATGTTGCCGAATACTCTGGGTAATGCCAACAAGGGTGATGATTCATATTAGCATCACACGACCAAATAAATTAAAAAAATAAAAACCAGAATACTGTTGCTATTTTATGACACGTGTCATAGCTTTAACGTTGAGATATTCTGTGAATAGCTGTGTCTTTTCTCTTGTTCTAGGAATTCTGTATGGTACCATGACAATGGAACTTGGAGGGAAGGTTACCATTGACTGTGAGAAAAGCAGTCACCGGGCAGAACTGGAATTTAAATTAAAGGTAACAGACTTGATTGTATTTTGAACCTGTCCCACCTTTTTCAAAAGTTCTCAGGCTTTGGTGCGACAAAGGGCGCTCTTGCAAGTTGCCTTGATGTCTAAAATAATCATAGGCATTGTATGTAAGCAGGGGAAGGGTAGACACTAAATGAGAGCCAGAGGCACCCCTAAGAACTAGCTCCACAAAGATGCCTTAAAAGTGGCTCTGAAAGGACCGCAAGATTGCTTAAGTCTGATTGTGGGGAGAGAGTTTTATAGCTATGCGACTGGTCAGTGAGAACCCATCTCTAAGACCAGGGGCGGGTTAACCATTAAGCAGACTAAGTAGGTACTTAGGGCACCAGGGCCAAAGGGAGCACCACAAAGTTGGGAAAAGGGTGAAAACCTGTGAAATATTAAAATAGATGTTGTATTGCATTTTTGTAGAACTTTATGTAGCCCAAGCTTGGCTTAGTTTGAACAGTATATTGTGTTATCATATGAATAAATCTTTGTACTGCTGCAACCTGTATTGTCTATCTGGTCAGGCAGGTCAACCACTAAAATGGACTGGGTCAGTGTGGAAAGGAGGGGGGCACCAAGATTGGTCAGGGTTTAGGGCACCAGTGAGCCTTAATCTGCCCCTGTCTAAGGCTATTGAATGTTTATTGCAAGTTTCATGCTGACAGCTTAATCTTAGATACAGGTGGGCCATAGTGGGATCAGGCTCATGGGATCGGGATTATTTCCCCTTCTGTGCCAGTTTCCGGACCCGAAACAACTCTGTGGGACACTCTTTGGCCCGCTAGGAAAACCTCGGCGTGCCCTGTCATTGCTTATGGAATCCCCCGTTGGACAAACAGCAACCCCCTAGAATCGTGTCAACTTAGGTGCGGGAGCTTGAGCCCCCCTCTACCTGCATTTCATGGTCCCAATCTGCATTTCATGGTCCCAATAGTCCCATGGCTTTAAGTTCCCAGCACAGAATTCACAATATGCGTGTTTGATGGCACAGACCCTGGGAGGAAGAAGAAGAGGAGATTGGATTTATATCCCACCCTTCACTACCTCTACCTAAAGGTGTCTCAGAGCGGCTTACAAACTCCTTTCCCTCCCCCTCCCCACAACAGACACCCTGTGAGGTAGGTGGGGCTGAGAGAACTCTTGACAGAAACTGCCCTTTACAAGGACAGCTCTTATCAGAACTATGGCTTGCCCAAGGTCATCCAGCAGGTGCAAGTGGAGGAGTGGGGGATCAAACCCGGTCCTCCCAGATTAGAGTCCGCACACTTAACCACGACACCGGGGAAGAATGTAATGTGTAGTATCAGAGCTGTCCTAAATTGCTGCATACATTCTCATTAGCATATCAAGCGCTTCACTTGCTTGATTATCCGCTGAGTTAAGTATCTCACCATTTGGCAAAGGGGTCAGATGGGCACTTTACCATCCATCTCCCCCTGCCCACGTTTTGACAAACAACAGTGCTCAAGTGAACTGACTCTTCCCTGGCAGTTGTGGAGATCCAGATCATCAGTTTCATTACTGCGTCTATGTTCTAACCTGGCCTCCAGTTAAAAACAAACCAACCCTGAACGGTATTTTCTGTCTCCTTTCTTCCCAATAGCCCTTCTTCGGTGGCAGCACAAGCATGAATCAAATCTCGGGGAAGATTAAACTGGGAGAAGAAGTGCTGGCAAGCCTTGATGGACACTGGGTAAGAAATCATTTTATTTATTTATTTGGTTTTTTATTTTGGCATTTTTACCCCGCCCTCCCCGCGAGCGGGCTCAGGGCGGCTTACAAGGGGCAAGAGCCCATGCATAAAACCCAATAAGACAATAAAATCATAAGTAATATCAATAATAACAATAATAAAGTGCTTCTATGAACAAGATGGTCTTGAGTGGTTATGTTGGCATCTTCAGATCCGCCCCATTGGGGCACCCCCGTCCAGTGGATCGTTCATGCCAATCCCATGTTGTCAATGCTACGCAATTTATGGCTGAGCTTCCAGGGCGATTCCTAATCCCGATGGTATAGCCACCATTGGTGGCGGTGGCGGTGGCAGCGGCGGCCCCTACACAAAAGCCTGGCGGAAGAGCTCCGTCTTGCAGGCCCTGCGGAACTGCATAAGGCCCCGCAGGGCCCTGAACTCCTCCGGGAGCTCGTTCCACCAGGTAGGGGCCGCCACTGAGAAGGATCTGGCCCTGGTCGCAGCAAGCTGTACTTTGCTGACAGTTTAAAAAATGACTACACAATTTGGAGTAGAGAAGGTGTGGCAGGTTGGAACAGTTTTGTGTTTACCTTTCCCGCTGTTTGAAATGGGCCCAGGTTTAAAACAAGTAGCTCTGAGGTAAAATCGATAAAATAGGTAGTGCTATTTCCTCAGTCATTGTGCTATCCTCCTTGCCACTGCTTGCTCACATTCTTATACCCTATTTATTTATCTGACATATTCATAAGCCCACCTTTCTCCCAGAAATCTGGGGCCTCAGGCGGGTAACGACTCCTAGAGTTTAAAACAGTAAAAAATAGTTAAACCATGTAAGATAAAGGTAAAGGTTTCCCTTGCTCGAAAGCGAGTCGAATCTGACTCTGCGGATGCGGTGCTCATCTCAGTTTCCAAGCCAAAGAGCCAGCGCTGTCTGAAGACGTTTCCGTGGTGATGTGGCCGGCATGACTAGACACCGAGGCACACGGAACGCTGTTACCTTCCCACTGAAGCGGTCCTTATTTATCGACTTGCAATTTCTTGCTTTCGAACTGCTAGGTTGGCAGGAGCTGGGACCAGAGACGGGAGCTCACTCCGTCATGCAGCACTCGGGTCTCAAACTGCTGAACTACTGACCTTCCACAGCCTGCAGTTCAGCATCTTAACCACTTGAGCCACCGCAGCCCCTTTAAACCATGTACAATAGTACAAAAGACTCAGGCATTAAAATCACAGTTGTCACCCCTCTGTGATTCTCCAAAACCCTCCCAGACAGTTCTGGTTTCCAGCCTCTCCTAAGGACCATCGACAAGGAGTCCTTTCTAACATGACTGGAGAGGCTGTTCCATAAAGAGGGAGCAGCAACTGAAAAAGCCCACAAATAGGCTGCAGCAGTCTGGGCTCCCGCTGCGTAAGGGGGCTGCAGTTCACTTGATTTCAGTCACACAGACCGATTTCACACAAGAGCTGCGCCGGGGTCGCGCCTCCCTTTGCACTGCTTCTATGGGTCAATTTCCCACTCGAAGCTGCGCAGCCGCGTTTTGACCCGCGGCTTTGCCCGATTTTCCCCGCGGTTTCGTGATCCTATTTTTTTGAGGATCACGAATTTGCGGGGGAAATCGGGCGAAGCCGCGGGTCAAAATGCAGCCACGCGGCTTCGAGTGGGAAATTGACCAATAGAAGCGGGGCAAAGGGAGGCGCGACCACGGCGCAGCTCTTGTGTGAAATTGGTCACAGACAAAGTGGAGCATAGAACAAAAGCTACAGAGGCCAACAGGCATCTTTGTACTGAACTGACAGATCGCTGGAGAAGGGTGAGCCCTTGGCAGGATGGGTGCATTCAGAGGGCAGGTCTCCATGTTCCCCTTTGAAAATGGTAATGACAGCAAACTATGTGATCTGGGGAAAGGCAAATATGCCTTCCTTATTCCTAATTCCATCACACGCACTCCCAAAGGGAAACTAGCTGTTAGGAGGACTCCACATCTTATAGGGGTTCTTATCTGCTTGGTAGAAGAAAGAGTGAAAATGACATTGGCTAGGGTGTTACAAAACACGTGGACTCTGGAGGACAAAAATGCTGAGGTGACACACCCAGACCATGAAATTAGAACAATCCGGGTATGGTTTTAGAATTAAAAGGATGACAATTTATCCATTAGTTGCTTATTGTTGATCTTCTCCTGATGGATATATGTCCTACATTGGGAATGAACTTTTTTTTTTTTTGATAGGGCAATCAATGCATCATTTGCTTCTCTCTTTGGACCTTGTAGTTTTATATTGTATTTTTTTGTATTAGGTTTTCAGCATGAACTGCTTTGCCTTTTGGGCATCTTTGTAAGCCGCCTTATTCTAAATAGGAAAGATGGCCTGCAAACATTTCAGATCCAATAAATAAATGGCAGCCAGAGCCAATATACTAGCTGGAGCGTAAGGCTTGTGTGAGGGGCTGACTGCATGGAAGAAGAAGAGGAGGAGGAGGAAGAGGAGGAGATTGGATTTATACCCCGCCCTTCACTACCCAAAGGAGTCTCAGAGCGGCTTACAAACTCCTTTCCCTTCCCCTCCCCACAACAGACACCCTGTGAGGTAGAAGAAGAAGAAGAAGAGATTGGATTTATACCCTGCCCTTCACTACCCAAAGGTGTCTCAGAGTGGCTTTCAAACTCCTTCCCCTCCCCCTCCCCACAGCAGACACCCTGTGAGGTAAAAGAAGAAGAAGAGATTGGATTTATACCCCGCCCTTCACTACCCAAAGGAGTCTCAGAGCGGCTTACAAACTCCTTTCCCTTCCCCTCCCCACCACAGACATCCTGTGAGGTAGGTGGGGCTGAGAAAGCTCTGACAGAAACTGCTCTTTTTTCAAGGACAGCTCTTATCAGAACTACGGCTTGCCCAAGGTCATCCAGCCAGGTGCAAGTGGAGGAGTGGGGAATCAAACCCGGCTCTCCCAGATTAGAGTTCATGCACTTAACCACTACACCAAACTGGCTCTCCCATGGAGTGGGATTGGGGGGGGGGGGCTCACTGGTTAACGAGGGATCCCGTGTGTATTGCCCTGAGTGCTGAAGAAGAAGATACCAAAAAAAGAGGTGAACGAGGGAGTGCAAAGGTTAAACTTGTTAGTGTTGGGTATAACTAGGAAAGCTTTGACACTGGACTGCATAGCAGAATAATAGCTTTTGCTTCAACTGGTGTAATAGCATGTTCCTCGCATCCTGCTGTGCAAATTACCGTTCTGTTTAATTTTGGTCGCACTGTTTCTGTGGGTGGGGCGACACTGAAACCAAACGACCGCCCATTCAGCCTCCAAGCAATGGAGCTTAATGAGTAGCTGGTTTCCCTAATAACTAATACCGATTCAAGCTCAAGGTTTTGGTGTTGACCTGTAAGGCCTTGACCGGTCAGGGACCGATGTACCTATGGGACCGTCTCGTCCGTTATGTCCCCGGGAGAGTGTTGCACTGTTCAGACAGCAATCTACTGGTGGTCCCTGGCTGTCCTCAACCATGTCCAGGGCCTTTTCGGTTCTGGCCCCAACCTGGTGGAACTCTGATGCAATTCCACAGGGCTTGCAAGGTGGAGATGTTCCACCAACTTTTGGTTGAGGACAGCGACGGTTCCATCTTGGCTGGCACCCTCCTCTGTCATTTACATCTACCTCGCCTTCTTCCCCCCTGCCTGCGAAGTAGCCAGCCGTTGGAATTGAGACTGTTTATTCACCATCTGATTGTGGGAATGTTTTATTAATGTTTTAATTAGTTCTATCTTGTTTCTGTTTTATGAATATTGTACATCGCTCAGAGCCCTGCTGTAGCAGGGACTGGGCGATTCATAAATACAATAAATAATAAATAATAATAATCAGGGCTATTTTGGGGGCAGGAACGCACAGGAACGGAGTTCCGGCTGGCTCCCAAGTTGGCCATGCCCAGCAGGAACTCATTAGCATAATAGGCCACACCCAACAGCAGAAACCCATTAGGATTGGCTACATTAGGGGTGTGTGGCCTAACATGCAAAGGAGTTCCTGCTACAAAAAAGGCCCTGGGTTTTGACAACAAACAAGATAAACAGAATAAGAAGCAAAAGGTGGGTGTGGCTGGATGACCAGACTTCTGGTAACATGGGGGTGCTGCCTAATGTGCTAATGAGCTGTGCTGTCAGGGGTGTGGCCTAATATGCCAATGAGTTTCTGCAGCTGAGTGTGGCTTATTATGCTAATGAGTTCCTGCTGGGCTTTTTCTACAAAAAGAGCCCTGAAATAACTCGACAGCGGGCGGGGGCAAAATGCAGGCCAGCGTTTGGAGCATTCGTGGGATGGTCACAAGGAATGCTGAGCTGTGGTAGGGCTACCAGCTCCAGGTTAGGGAATACCTGGAGATTTCTGGAGGTGGCGCCTGGGGAGGGCGGGGTTTGGGGAGTTGAGGGACTTCAGTGGAGTATAGGGTCCTAGAGTCCACCTCCCAAAGGAGTCATTTCCTCCAGGTGAACTGATCTCTGTCGCCTGGAGATCAGTCGTCATCCCAGGAGATCTCCAGCCAGCACCTGGAGGTTGGGAACCCTAAGCTACAAAGAGGCAACTGCACTTTCTGTGTTGACACTTTTCCTGCTCTCTCAATGTTCCCTCTAAGCTGTGGAGTCCTGTGAACAAAGATTCTACTTTGTGAGCTACTGGCATTAAAGTTGTGAGCGAGCGATTTGGCTGCTGCATAAATTAGTTTGCTCTGGAGCCATCCTTCCTGAACTAAGACAAAAATATGTGAGCCAGAGGCTAAAAAACTGTGAGCTAGCTCATACTAACTCAGCTTAGAAAGAACACTGCTCTCCATGGCTCTGTTCTGTTGGGAGTTATCTCATATTAAAAATAATTTAAGGAAATAGACGAATAACTATAAATTTATTTATTAATTAAATCATGTACAACTTAACATCCCATAAGGCTCTAGGTATTTCTCAACTATACAATAGCATTCAATACGTGAAGTAGAAGAAATACAATCGATATGCTGGAGATTTAAAGCCATATCTAACATTTACTATTTGACACTCCCCAAAGAAAGACTTCACAGACTCCTTTTTCACAATTACAGTGGACTGAAAAACATGGTTTTCAAATGTCCATAAAGCAAAGCAAATACATCCACTTCTTAAGACATTAAGATAAACAATATCAAGTACGTTGCAATCAGCAAGTGGATCCAGCCCTTAGGACTTGAGACAGACAATAAGAAATAGGCTGCACTCAACTCATCCTCCAGATTATTCAGTGAGTTTTCGAAGCCTTCATTAGGACCGCAAACGGGGACTCCAAAAGAGACACAGCCACAGGGACTTCTCAGCCAATAATGCCTCCAAACTGTCTTATTGTTCAGCAATGTCTCAAGACTGCCTTATTTTCCTTTGTTCGTGATGGATACGTGTAGCCTGACTGTAGGTGCCTCTTCCATCTAAATGAATGTAAAGACGGCTCATTGAATAATCTGGAGGATGAGTTGACTGCAGCCTATTTCTTATAGCCAGTTTGGTGTAGTGGTTAAGTGCGCGGACTCTAATCTGGGAGAACCGGGTTTGTTTCCCCACTCCTCCACTTGTACCTGGCTGGAAGACCTTGGAAAAGCCATAGTTCTGGCACAGCTGTTCTTGAAAAAGAGCCGTTTCTGTCAGAGCTCTCTCAGCCCCACCTACCTCACAGGGTGTCTGTTGTGGGGAGGGGAAGGGAAAGGAGTTTGTAAGTCGCTCTGAGACACCTTTGGGTAGTGAAGAGCGGGGTATAAATCCAATCTCTTCTCTTCTTCTTCTTCTTCTTGTTGTTTGTCTCAAGTCCTAAGGACTGGATCTACTTGCTGATTGCAACTTACTTTATATTGTTTGTCTTACCTCTCCCGCCTATTGTATTTCTTGTATTGAATACTATTGTACAGTTG